TGTCAGCCAACGAAAAGTGTTCGAATTCTACAAGATTATCCCGATGCTGACGAATCCTAAGAAGCATGGGATCGATTCGGATGTGAGTTATTTCGTTGGCTAACTACTTCCATTACTACTTTGTACTCTGATTTTCTCCAGCCATTTGCATGATCTCTTCCAGATTGCTTTTGAAGTTGTCGCGCCGTCCATTCCTGGGTATGGATGGTCTGACCAGCCGAAACGATCAGGTACCTTCACTTCAATACACTTTATCCTGATTCTAGAGAGCTGCAGATTCCAGGGTTCAGTCAGGTGGCATGCGCTCGGGTTTTTCGAAAGCTGATGGAACGACTTGGCATCAAGAGATTCTACCTTCAAGGCGGCGATTGGGGATCGCTGATCGCTAGCAATTTGGCTAAGCTCTATCCAGCTCAGTGGGTATCTTCATCTTTGCTCCTCCTCTAATATGGACTCCAAAGAGGAAAGCCAGTTCTTATTTTTTACAGAGTATTCGGTCTTCACCTGAACATGCTGGCAGCAATGCCTGATTCTTCATTGAAAGTGGCAGTACTTGATATCTTTGGATCGTTCTTCCCAAAGGTACTCGTAACTTCCGTGTAATATATTGAAAGTTCTTCTTTTGAAAATCTCGCGATTGGTTGTTTTCAGTGGGTGTTCTCCTCACCATCCCACTACAACCATAACTTCTTTACCAGAGTGATGGGGATACTCACTGAGACCGGATATATGCACCTTCAGGCAACTAAGCCGGATACTGTAGGTTTGTGACTTCGCTCTTTCCTTCGTGGTGTATCTATGTTCAATACGTTCTGGAACCTGTTAGAAGGAAGCAAGGCACGTCCCTTGCTGGGGATGCCCGACGGAAGAGTCATATTTGGTTTCTGGGCAGAGAGGGTCGTACTTGGTCTCGGATTTTTCTTTGATAATCTACTCTTCCTGTTTCATTTCTCCAAATGGGAGGTCATATTTGCCCTCTTTTGGGAGAGGAAAGGGGGGAGGACGCATACGCCTTTTCTGCCTTTGAGAGGAATTGTCGCGTTGCTTCTCACTCGACA